CAACAGATCTGCTGTTAGAACTTGCCGTGTATACGTAGAACACTGGAACCAGTGATGAAACAACAGATCTGCTTTTAGAACTTGCCGTGTATACATAGAACACTGGAATCAGTGATGGAACAACAGATCCGCTTTTAGAACTTGCCGTATATACATAGAACACCTGAACCAGTGCCAGAACAATGGAGCCGGTGTTAGACATTGCTGTATGTACATAGAACACTGGAACCAGTGATGATATAACGGTGCCGGCGTTAGAACTTGATGTGTGTATAGGCTATAGAACACTTGCTCTGTTTTTGTTTTCTTTGACTACTTTTATTTTTTTAACTTACACTCTGCTATTTTAAAATTTTAGTTGGCTACTTTTAGTTTTAAAATTATCCTTTTGATAAATTCAGTTTTAAGCTAGCTTTTTTAGTTGGATTTTTGCTAAACCTATCTAGCATTTTGCTGATATTAGCTAATATTTAGCAACTTTTTAGCTTTTAGCTAACCATTATTTTGCTATTTTTAGATTTCGGCTAGCCTTTTGTTACTTTTAGTCTTTAGCTATGTTCACCTACTTTGTCTCTTTATGGCTGTTGGCTACCCTTCTACTACTTCAACATTTAGCTAGTTGTTTGCTCCTTTTACCATTTAGTTATCCTTTGGCTTCTTTAGACTCTTCTTTGCTACATTTAACCTTTAGCTTGTATTCTGCTGTTTCAGCTTTAACAACTCATTTGGGGCCTCGGATGGGGGCCGAGAAGGGGTAGAGACAGGGCAGCCAACTCAGGACCCAAAAGTTCTAGGCTTGATCACCAGCCATTCCCACATGTTGTGGTGTCTTTGAACAAGACACCCAATCCCCAATTGCTCCTGGGGTGCCCATATAGCTGCCCACCTCTCCACCTGGGTGCATCCCAGGTGCGATGGGCTAAATGCAGTGAACCAATTTCACCATTGTATGGGAACATACTATGATGACAACACATAGCGCTTCTTATTATTTTTGTTATGCAGATTTGAACAAAGTCATCGTTCAAGCTGTAACTTTGTATAAAAATGAAGTTTCTTTAGTTTATGGATGTTACTCAGATTTGATGAGTCACAAACCAACATTTTACAATTAAAACAGCTCAAGCAGGCAGCTGTGAACCAACACCTGATCTGAGACCAGACCTGTAATGGTTCTCACTTGTCTACGACTCACTGGTCTGTGGGATGCTTCAGAAAGTTTCCCAGTTCCCATAAATCTCAGTGAACCTCCAGAACTGTTGTGTCCGAATGTTCAATTCAATTATCTTGATTTGAAACAAAAGATCTGAGTGCAGATTTGAGTTCAGGCCAGAACAAATCTGTCAAATGTAAAAAGACAGAGAGCTGTGAGAAATCAATGCGATGAGCCACAGGAGGGATCAGGTCGGCTGATTAGATTTGAGTCCAGCCGAAGTCGGATGAGAAACTTTGGTGTAATGGTTGGAAAGTCCAGGAATAAGACATTGTCAGAAGCAGCAAAAAGCTGAAACAATAAGAACTGTTCTGTGGTCAGAAAGATCCAAATCTGAAGTTCTGTTTGAAAACCACAGACACTAAATCCTTCATACTGAGGAAAGGGACCATCCAGCCTGTTATCAGCTCAAAGTTTAAAAGCCTGCCTCTCTGGTGGTATGGGGGTGCATTAGTACCTCTGGCAAGAGCAACTTACTGGAAAGACTTCATCAATGCAGAAAATTATCTTCAGGTTTTAGATCAACTGATCCCATCCTGCAGAGAAGTTCTAAGGCTGTTGAGCCTCTAGAATCCTCCATCAGATCAGAATGATAAAACTCTTGGTCCAAAATGTCCTTATGCTGCTCAGCAACACAAGTAGATAAATCTAACAAGGTTGGGTCAGGTCCTCTGGACGGATTCCTCCTTAAGAATACATCCAGAGGACCTGACTCCACCTTGTTAGACTTCCTCCAAAAACTTGTTCCCCCAAGTCCTCCAAAACGTCCATCAACCGATCTGTTCAGGTCCTCCTATATCTCCAACAACTGGTCTCCTCAGGTCTTTCAAAACATCCAACAACTGGTCTCTTCAGGTCTTCCAAAACCTCCAAAAACTGGTCTCCTCAGGTCTTTCAAAACATCCAACAACTGGTCTCTTCAGGTCTTCCAAAACCTCCAACAACTGGTCTCCTCAGGTCCTCCAAAACCTCCAACAACTGGTCTCCTCAGATCCTCAAAACCTCCAACAACTGGTCTCCTCATGTCCTCCAAAACCTTCAACTGTCTCCTCAGGTTCTCCAAAACCTCCAAAAACTGGTCTCCTCAGGTCCTCAAAACTTCCAAGAACTGGTCTCCTCATGTCCTCCAAAACCTTCAACTGTCTCCTCAGGTTCTCCAAAACCTCCAACAACTGGTCTCCTCA